GGGGGGGGGTGTGGGGGCTGTCTGGGATTTGGGACCATCGCTTTCCAGGGTGCTGGGCCGTAGACCCAGGTATCGCATCTCAACAGAGAGATACCTATTGATCATTTGGTTTTCAGCACCCCTCTGCCTTTTGTTCGGGCCGTTGCGCTCCAAGCCTGACCGAAGAGTGCGTGCGTTCACCATCTAGGGCCGCTAGCGGCTCTGATCGACATCCCCAGATCCCAGACTGGGATCTCCCTGGGCGTCCCAAGTGGGACTGAATGATGCTCCCGGGGCTTGCTCGTGTCCACTTTGGGCTGGGCTGTTCCTGTTTCTGATGCTTGGAGTTGCCCATTTCAGCTTGCAACTGCCGCTGAGCGAGACATGGACGCCGCGCATTTCCACAAGCAGCATCGTCCCCAACCGCCATCAACGCGCCAGTTCATGCAGCAGATCAGATGGCAGATGGCAGATGTTCGCTGCATGTTGGCTCTACGACCCAACAAGCGGCCATCCTGCAGCTGCAGGTTTGGTTGCATGGCAGCCTGCATTTCTCCAGCGGATGCCGATTTCCTCAACGACTCTTCTCTCATCATTATCAGCCTGTGCTTCATATGAACTTCGCAGACGTCTTCTGAGCTTGTCTTGCTCTGATCTGCCCGTTGGATTCCCGGCTTGGCTTCAACAAATTCCCGACCAAGACTAAACAATGTTGCACCTTGTGTTGATTCCGTCAGCCCTGTCTGTTCCTCTGGCGAGATCCTTGACCACGGTACCATGAACAACCCAACAAGGGAGACACACACAACACATCATCACCGGCCATTGCATCGCTCGCTAAGGACCGGACGAGCCACGGACGACGGGGAATCGGTGCATACTCAGAAGAGGATCGGCGCCTCTCTAGGCATTGCGCAACCGTGAGGGGTTATTTTCCGCCATCAAATCAAAAACAACGGGAACATCCAACCAATGGCAATGTCTGATTTAACAAGTCTGTACGACGAATCCCCGAGAGCCTTTGGCGCTCCAGCCTGGAAGGGACCGGCAGAAACCCGCAGATATGGATCAACCCCAAGTTCGTGTGGTGCTGAGCCGCAGCCACTTTTCTCCTCGGTACCTCTCCTCTTGTCCCACCCACAGCAGTGGTATTCATGGTCCCAGGAATCGTTTGGTGCACCAACGCAAGCTGGGCAGTCTGTTCAGACGCCATTGTGGTACCAAGGTCGTCCTTCAATCTGTACATGCCGCCCAACTTCTCCTCTCTCTGCCACCACCAACCTTGACCAACAACAGATCAGAAGTTCAATGCACCAATTCTTCGGTTCCATGGCGGCACAGCCTATCAGCAGCCATTGACCTCACACCCATTCAACTTTTCAGTTTCTTCCCATGTCTCCTTGACCCCAAGGCCCTGGAAATCGGGCCGTGTCCCCCCCCCCTGATTCTGTTCCCTATCACGACGACTGTCACGATAACCAGCTGGACAAGGCATACCTGGTCCAGCTCTGTCTCGGAAAAGGGCACCGGTGATGTGACGTTCATTCTGTCGGCTCACGTCTTCCACCTGTACCTTTTGACGACGGCATCCTTAGCATCCCATTGTGAGTAAAGATGCAATAGGGTGTCTGTGATGGTAAGATCGACACAGGCTGGCACCTTTCGGGACTCCCAAACCGATCATTTTATCTCGTTCGAGATAATTACCCAAGGCACCACCCGGAACGACTCCCGTGTTCTTTTCCATCTGGAGAGAAGGACTTGGGTGTAGTACAGCTTCCTTCGTCTGCCCTCATTTTCATACACTAACCCCTGCATGTGGTCATAGTATAAGACTCCTCTACCTACCTATTTATTCATATGCTCACTCCATCGGAGGTCACATACCTAATTACATGTGCTTTCTTTTCAATTTCCTTCGCATTTGTAACAACCATTCAGTTGCGAGATATCAAGCACTGCCTCACCGCCTCTCATGGATCATGTTCCGGATATAGGACAGAAGACGTTGAATTTCGAGGATACTCGGCCGGGTGTTCTGATTGTCAGACATACACGCAGGTGAGCCAGAATGATCATTGGACCCGCCAGCAACTATGATCAGCAAGGCTTGCAGTTGCCACGCACTGGCGATGGCCTGGCAAGAAACGTTTTGCCATGAGACCAGGCCGCCGGAGGCACTTACCATGTGACCAGAAGTTCCTTCGACCAAACGAAAAGAAACCAGAACTGCAGGGCGGAGACTGTCTCAGCCGGCAACAGCCGAGTTGCTTTCTTTTCACCCTGTTATCTGCACTGACCCTTGCGGGTCGTTCAAGACATCAAACAACAGCTATTATTGGTTTGAATAGAGATTTTATTACAGAGAGAATCTTACCTTGAATTTTCTCCCTCGTCCACTCATGGACGCTACAACGGGAGAAAAGGCCCGGACGGGAAATGGCTTGGGCCAATCATGACTTTTCTTCTGATCTCTCATACGCAGCTTGAACGTGCGAAGACGCGAGACATCAAGCAGAACAACGGACCATCCAAGTTATGAGATGGATGCGGGTCAGGACAGGCAACATTCACAGCAACAGCAAAGCATGGACTTGACTTAAAATAACGCTTATTTAATGTACACTCATTCATCGTTATCGTCATCATCATACAGTAATTCCGATAGGAAAGGACCCCCTCGATGAACAAAAAAATCTGGAATCCAGAAGAAGAAAAAGAAGCAGAAATCAAAGAATATCACCGGTCGTCAAGAGGATCATGTTATTCTTCTCCTCACACCCCCCACCCCTACCCAAACACCCAGCCCTTCAAACAAACCCCGCCCGCAGATTCTCATACTGACTGTCAGGGAATCTGAGCTGGTTTGGACTCGAATCGATGCCCCCCAGCTCCCGAAAGCTGGTCCCAATCAAGCTCTGCCCGTCGGTCCGGTCAGCAGACGCCTCCCAGAACATGCTGCCCCCGAGCCCCCTCTGCTTGAGGTACGCAACCTTTCTCTGGATCATCTCGGCCGTGTCAAAGGAGATGAGCTCCCTTTTAGCCGGATCATAGCTGTACGTGGCGCTCGCCGCGGCGTCGTACACGACCTGGGCTCCGGGCTTGGGTAGGTCTTTGTAATCCCACACACCATTCTCCCAGCTCCCGCCGCCGACGCCGGAATAGGCCTGCCCCAGTCCGTTTGTGTTGGTGAAGGCCCTCCCGTAGATTGGCATGCCGAGCACGATCTTGGACGCGGGGATGCCGGCCGAGATGTAGTCCGACACGGCACGCTCGGTCGAATATGGGGTGGCGGTGTCGTTTGTGTGGTAGAGGTTGGCTTGGTGGCCGGCGCGGAAGTCCCAGGAGCCGGCGTAGTCGTAGGCCATCAAGTTGAAGAAGTCGAGGTAGTTGGCCATGGATCGCAGCTGCATGGTGTTGTAGTGGGTCGGTCCGGCCGGGCTGGCGATGGTGAGGAGGAAGTGGTAGTTGCTGGCGTGGGTGGCGGAGTAGGAGTTGAGGGCGGACCGGACCGCCTGAAGGAGGAGCACATAGTTGGCCGCCTCGCCAGAGCTGGCGGGGTATTCCCAGTCGATGTCCAGGCCGTCGAAACCCAAGTCGGCGAGGAGGCGGACGGCGGAGTCGGCGAAGCGGGCCCGCGAGGCCGGGGTTGAGGCGGCGGAGGCAAAGTTGGTGGAGTACGTCCATCCGCCGACGCTGAGGAGGACTTTCATATGGCGGTTGGATTTCTTGAGGAGAAAGAGCTGTTTGACGCAGCCGTAGACATTGCGGCCGGGCTCGCTCCATGCTAAGACACATTAGGTAAGCGGTTGGGCGTCGTGAAAAAGGGGCGGGCTAGGGGTAAGTAAACAATCAAAAATCAAAAAGAAAGAAGAAGGGGGAAACAACATACAGTCGCCGGGGTAGTGCTTGTCTAGGTCGGCATAGGTGTCTGAAAGATAGACCTCGCCATCCGGTCGAAGATTGGCAAAGGAATAGAGAACATGAGTAATTTGTGACGCCGGCAGCTGGGCAGGTTGGTAGTTACGTCCATAGATGCCCTTTTGCAAGATCGGAGTCAGCCTCGATTGTTCTTCAGGACAAGATGACATTCATATCTCACCCAGTTGGTAAAATAAACAATATTCTTGTAACCACCAGACTGTCGTATGGTGACTTCGACCTCACTTGGAGATGGAAGGGGTGATCCTTGAACGGTGGCAGCGAGCGAACAAAAAGAAAGGGCAGCCAGCGCCGCTTTCTTGAGGGAGAAGAGTGACATTGTGGTCGTTCAGCGACTTGAAAACATGTAGTGAGAGACAGACAGACACCAAGCGTGCTGGGATGAGGGGGAGAATGTTA